TAAAGGATTATGTATTGCTACTTAGTGGGTATACACAATAAGTTACTAAGATATTTTAAATGCTTACAAAATACAAAAACTAAACAAGATTGAAAGTGCAATTAACAATGACTAGATAGAGATATCTCCACGTATTTCTTAAATTACTTATAAATGCTGATACGATTTTTACTTTTCATGACTACCTCGTAGGTAAAATGTGCGACGCGACGGTCAGGAAAAGTTTTGTTGCTTAATTCTATTATTGTTAGCTTGCCTGAGGTTATTATGCTCGCTTCCCTCATACCCAAAACCCGGCAAGTACCAATGTGACTTTTTCTGCTTTCTGTGATTATTTAGACACTACTGACATACGGTGAAACGGAAACCTGATCTTATAATTTCTAATGAGCAAGAGTTGTAATTAATGTTCAAACCTTCGCCGTGTGAGAAGAGACTTTTGCTCAGCAATGGGCATTTAAAGACTGTGATGTGATGAAGTATTGTATGTTCTAATTATCGAAAATACATGACCACGAACAATGTAGATTTTTTTGTCTAATTAAATTGTGGTCAATATTTTTATAGCTCGGTCTCAATATTTGTGGTTCAGTAAGGTTGCGCTTACGATAAATCGATAAATGAGGCGATCTACCTCTCAAAATTTTGCATACCCTTAACATTATAAATCTATATCAAAAATATATTTCAAAATCAGCACTTATAGTTAACTAACATATGATTGCCACAATAATTTATGTTTCTTCTACATCAGATTCTGCTTCACCCATTATTATATCATTATCAGCATCGCTCTCTTCTGACGAGTCGCAAACTTTCTTCTCTAATCTTTCAGTAAGGGCGTCAATTGCAGCCTCATGACCTATGTATTTTCGTTCTTCTCTTACTGCTTGATCGCATGCGCTTTTCCATTCTTGTACATCAATTGAATTTATTTTTGACTTCACAAATTTGGTTATGTTTTTACCTTGCTTGCACCATTCGGTTCTCTTTCCCATTTTTTGTTTTATAATTAACCACGTTTTTTTAAATGGATTTAGTTCCGGGTGATATTGCGGAAGACGAAGTACGCTGTGGTTATTCTTTCGAAGTATGTAATCAATTTTGAATTCTTTAAAGTTCTTCTTATGTTCCAATATCAACTGATAAAGTTGCGGTTTTAACATGGACGAAGAGTGTACAATATTTCGAAAATCAAGCCAATCAAGCAATTCTTGTTTACAGGCGTGAGGTCCCGGGGCTGGATGTTCTAATATATTTTGATAAAAAACGTTATCAATCACAACAACACTTTTTGGTTTTAAATTAGGCATCAAATCATTTTCAATCCATTTTATAAAGTCTTCGGTGCTCAAATAATGCGGACGAGTTCCAACTGGATCATTAGTTTCAAACATAGCTAGCGCATTAGGAACAAAGCCCTCCGAACCACCAGCATGAACAATAATCAAACCATTTCCCCTAGTAGAAGGATTGGATGAAATTGAAGTGTCCATGTAAACCTCACTAGCAAAAACGATGGGGCGTCCTTGTGATCTATATTCAGCGATTTTAGTTAGAAAATTTATACGTTGAAAACGTATTTTGTGTTTTTCAACCAATATTCCAGAATTGCCTTCTGTCATTTTCCATTGAAATCCTAACCGTGTTACCTCTCGTCGCAAAGTAGCAACTGAACCAGGATAATTAAGTTTCTTCTTTACACATTCATGTAAAGTTGTCATGATGGGAAAATCCTTATCTTCATTGTAATATTCATAATAGTAGTCAATAATTACCTGCCGAATTGCAGCCCTGTCGAAATCATTGATGTTTACTTTATTTTTCCTCGCAACTAACAACTTTTTTGATGAAGTAAACGGCTTTCCTTCTTCCAGAACTCGTTTACTTTCGAAAATTACCTTTTTAACTGACGAAAACGGAACACCTGTTGCATCTGACGTTAATTTCGCTGCTGATGTTTGATAAATACTTGACATATCTTTGTTTTTGAGACCATTAAAATATTTATGTAAGTTAAACAATATTTCCTTAGAATGTCTATCCAATATTTTTCTTTTCTTTGGTATTTCAATATCTGCTGGATCCATGAAATTTAGAGGTACACTTCTGTCACTGACACTAGGAGTTTCAATTTGATTCTGCTCATCTTCATTATTAATCTTGTTCAAGATACGAATAAGCAAAGCCGTTTCTTCTTTAAGATAAGCTTTACCCTCTGTTACGAAACTTAATGTCTCAATTAATTTCATTTTATTCGCCTTATCAGGGATTTTGTCTACGAATGTTATACACTCTTGCACCATTTTCAGAACAGCTTCTTTTGGCTGAGACCTAAAAACAAATGAAGAGGACGATGGTGAAACTAAATTATAACGAATACCTGTTATTATATTTATAAAATATGAATAAGTACCTATTTACCTTTTTCTTGCTAATACAAGGATTTGTTCGTTAAGAGCTAACCAATTTTTAGCTTCAAAATATATCTGTACTATAGCTACTAAGATTCGCGCTGTAACATCAGGCACAGATGTGTGCTGTAAAATAAAACATTTTATACATATCTATGTATATAATTATTAGGTTTTAGGTATAGCACTCAAGCATAGAAGCATCATTAAGCATCAGTAAAACCCAGTGTAATGAGATACGTATTAAACTTACGGCTCTGGTTTGTTTCTCTAAAAACAGTAGTTGGTTTATTGCTTCTTGGACCCTGCCTTTTGCAGCCCACGACTTCCATAATGGTATTTTTTCGTAACACGTGCTTCTAAAGTCAATCTGAAAGAACAGTAACAACAGGAGCACACAATAAAACAATTTGTCAATATTAAGTTGATCAAAAATAAAAAAAAACATATGCGCTAAGTACCAACTACGGTATTGTCTTGCTATGATCAATTATTTTGACCTTGAGGCTATTTTATGCTAGTGTATACAATCGCGTTTGATATCTGAAACCAATCAATTCGTATAAGTAGCTAGGAACGTTGTAGGTACCTTTAAAGAGTATGGTAAGGTAAGTAAGTTTATTGGACACGCGAGAAATTGAACACTGCACCCCTTTAAAAAATAGTACCCTACATGCGCTTTTGTTATGCCATTGGGGCGACCAACCCTTTTAAGTTAGGGGCTCAGCGTCAACGTAAGCTCCTGAGGCTTCATAATTATTTATTTGCATGTCAGCTGCCGGTGTAGTTTCTTGAATGTGATAGAAGGCAACTTGGGCTAGTTTTAATGTTTTATAGAAATAGCACATTGTATAATGCAATATTTTAATTTCTATACTATTCTATACTAAACCCAGAAGTTAGAGTAGCTGGGTCAAATAACTATTTTCAACGCTTTTATTTTAAAAATCATTAAAGATAGGTACCGCGGCCTATAAACAGCCGCAATATAAAAAGAGCCACATGAGGATTGCCGGCCTTTTAAGAAGGAGTAGGCGGAGAAACGACCGCAAAGGTATAAGCACGATCGTTTCTTAAAGGTTTGTAGATCGTATCGGTTCGGAAATACCATGTCCGAAAGATCATTCCAGTTTCCTCTCTAATGCAGTTTGATTAATTGCAAGCGGCAAACATGTCAACATACCTCAATCCTATTTGGTGGTCTTTCGGAATCGGTGTCAGTATCAGTGCACATCGCCATGTTAGGGAACTGAAATAAGAAATATAATTGATTACAGACAATTCAAGGTGGCTTGCAGATCAAGTAAATTAGGTGATGACTGATGACTTGTTGATATTGATTATTTCTTTTCGACCAATATTATTAGGTACCCGAAGGCGCCCGAAGCATTACACGCGCGCCTCACAGAGCCAATTGGAGCCAACAGACTACCGCAGATGGAGCCCAACAGGGCCGACGCGGCGTCGCGGGGTGATTTAGCCAGGATCGCGGGTCAGGCGCAATAAGTTACCGCGGTCGCGGTCACGTGCACGAGAAGGAACGGGGTGTGTTTAGTCAGTTATAAGAGTCTGACACTCCCTCTCGCCATACCTACCTACCCTGAGCGAGAGAAATCATATGATTATTTTCCCTTAAAAAATAAATAAATAAAATTAAAAATAAAATTAACTTATTTAAAGCTCAATAATTATTTTTGAAACTTTTAAATATTTCGGAGTTAATAATCTGGTAACCGGCTAAGCGCGGGTTGCCGGTAAAGTAGTCAAGATAAGTCAATTAAGACATTAATTTGTTACCCAGCTATTAATAAAGCACCTTTTATAAAAATAGTAGCAAACTTACGGTAATATTGCCTTTAAAATAACTGTTAACAAATGATTTATTATTAAAAATACAGAATCAAACAAATGAAAGTAGGTACCTAACTTTTATTTAAGTATTACTTAAACCATCTGGCAAATAAACCTTACTTACCGTAAAACAGCGTACTACCGCTTGTAACTTTTACGCGTCTGAATGTGTACTGAAATACTTATTGGAACCTATGAAATATGACTTGATGTTCATTTCTTGTAGATATTATCGATTTCCCTGTGATATTATTGTTGATGTTTTGTTAAGTATACGGGAAATTTCAATCTGCAATCATTCATTTTGACATAGATCACTCTTACTTATTTTTTTAATTGAGTTCAATGCCTTGGATCGGGTATTATAACGTGATGTAGGATTCAGTCATTATTTTTTATTTATTAATATCTTATAATTAAATTCTAACTTTCGCAAGAAATTGAAGATGTACATAGTAGTTATTTTATATAACTTCAGCATGTTTTTTATAACAATTATTCTTATTTGTTAATTGTTAGGTTTATTGCTTAACAAAACAAATTATTTGTCTTTTTCAGATATTGTTCTTTGTTGTTTGCAAGTTAGTTAAAATTGTAAGCAAACAATTTTCATGTTATAAACTTTTAGACACATTCAAGTAGGTATTTACCTTAAAAGCCCGGAGCTCGAATTTATGGTTTCTTACTCTATTTGAGTTCATTCATTCTTTATTCATTCCTTCCATTTATCCATTCGTTCTATTGATAATGATAAGGTGGTAGCTACTTATGGCGTTGTAGGAGACGATTGGATTATTTTTACATTTTACATGTAATAGTTTTAATTGATGACGCTAATCTCATATGAGATTTCAGCATTTATTTACTTTATAATTTTAGTTATCGTGTAATGCTTGTTGTAGTTATTCGGTGAGAGCGAATATTTCTTTGTTTTTTTCCTCCAACATATGTTGGACTACTTCTGTTCGTTACAAATTACGCGTAACAAATTATTCTGTACGCGCACAATGATTGCATCAGTAAATTGTGATAACTTAGGTTCAAACAACAGTAAAGGAACCAGAAGTCATTCGGCTCAAGGTCTGGCGAGTTCCGTGTCTAGTTCAGCTATGAAGATACCGTTACCTCCTCGTCCATGGATCACAGGTATAAAACTTGGATGATTATTTATTTATAGTACCATATCAATTAACTTCAACTTCTAATAATCTTCTTACCATATTTTGTAAACAGCAAGGAAATAGTTACGCGACATGTTATGTGGCATTCATTATTTTGTACCTATGTGAAAGTTTTTGTTTCGTTGAATGAGAATTGATATTCAAGAATTGACGGTTATGTGTCTGTTTTCAGCATTGTTTGTTATTTGTAGAGTTCTGAGTTATCAATATCATGTTACTATAAACAATAGTATACTCGATTGTTAATATTATTATTATGTACACATACATACGTAACTATATCACGTTTGCTGAGCGTATGCACGTTATGGGCATATGTACTTACCTAGATTAATGCTATTTTCTAAGTATATTCATAATGGAAACATTTACTATAGATACCCAAGTGCAGTAGTATAAGCCACTTTATTATGCTGATAAATAATTTATAAGCAAACAACACCACTTATCTTTGTTATAGATTCCAAAGTGACATGTGGTTGTTTTGATGAATTTTAGCAATGAACAGTTTGCAGAATATCCATATTAGTGTTACACAAATTGGATTGTATTGGTTTTATTGCAAAGGAACTAGCTTTTTAGTGATATATAAACTTATTTAACATTAATATTTATTGTTTATTTACTGTATGCTGCATAAATATATAAAGAACTTGGTTGTCTAGTTTTATTTTTTATATAACTACAGATTCTTTAAGGTTCTGAACTTGTTTCCTAGCATAATTATGACTATTCACTGTAATCATTGCTTTGTTTATTTACTTAAACTAAGATAAAATGATAATTATGTTATTAGTTTAGGTATACAGCCTACATAAATAATAGACATCAAATGGATCAAGAAATTAAATCAGCATATTCAGAAGGTTAAAAAAGAATAAAAACACATTGAATGTAATATTGAGCATCATTGGTACCATAATCTATTCATAGCAATCTATTCTTTAGTAGCACTTCCAGCTACTTAATTAAAAAGTTCTATCTCTGGTGTCTCCACATTACTTATATGTTTTTTTTATATCACACAATGCTTATTCTATTCTGGACCTAAATAAACTCTGCCACTCAGTAATGGTCCTTCAAAATGTAAGGGCATGACAATTTGTTAAATAACTTGATGATTTCGCAAAATTTGAGATATACAACTATATTTATAAGGATAAGTATATAACAGTTTATACTTATCTACTGTATAACAAGTAAAAGTCCAAAATTTAAATGAAACAATTGAGGATGAAATTCCTATACCATGTAAGCCAGAATAAGAATTCCCACTTCCAATAAAATGAGCTGTTTGTTACATTTGCAACTGAATTCATGAGGAAAACCAGTTAATAGCCATATTTAACGGTTTTACAAAAAATTAGAAGTGAATTGTGCAATATAATGATGAATCATGTAGAATTGTAGTATTTGTATTTTGCAATCTATCACCACGTTGCAATATTATGGAATTGCTTTTAATTTTTTGTTTGCTACTTTTATTATACAGGGAAGATATTTATAGCATAATCATTACTTATATTTTTTTGTATGTCTTGAAACTTGTATGAATAACCTCATTCTTCTTCAACATCATATAGAAGGTCATTGTTTATCTAGATAGTTCGATAATACTGTGTACTTACACCCAATGCCAGTTATCCAATTTAAGTTACCAGTTTCAAATAGGATGTGCAATTTGTTTTATTATTCAGACGGCCAGTGCAGTACGTTCCCCTATGAAGTGCAGCCATAAATTCTCAATGTGCAAAGAGCTTATAAGTTCTTAGAATATTTTAATTTTTTTATTGTATTGTCAAACAGATGCAGAAGATGATTCATCAGATGAAATGGACAGTGTTATTATTAAAGACGAGAGCTTGATTGCTATGGAAAGAACAAGAATGAGGTCAAGATATCGACACCATAAACAAAGACAAGTTAATGTACCTATTGGAATTTTTTGGGATATTGAAAATTGCCAGGTGAGTTCTTTATTTGAATTTTTATTTTTTTCATTTTTGTATTAGTTATTTACTTCTCTCTGTAAGGAGGTTCTATATCTTTTTCTGTAAGGCCCAAATTTATTGTCTTGTTTCTAGATACCAAGAGGATGTTCCGCCATAGAACTGGTGGCTGCCATTCGAGCAAAGTTTGTGAGGGATGGAAGAAGAGAAGCTGACTTTGTAGTTGTTTGTGATGTTCGTAAGGAAACAACCACAAGACTATTAGAACTTAATGATGCTCAAGTAAGTGTTAACTTTTTCTTTAAATATACATTAATTTTTAAGTGTATATTCATTGTCTGAGTAATAATGCAAATGTCTTTGTGGGAATGTATTTAGATGTATTATTCTTTTATGTAAGAATTACTGAGCGGACCTTGATGCAACTTTGGATATAAATAGATAAATTATAGTCAAAAATAACATCTAAAATCAACATCTGACTAGTATATTAAATATCTTGAATCCTTATTGTGTAAATAAAATACAGAATTCAGCTAAAAATATCCTTTACTCTTTGAAATATGTGTACTTATATAAAAATGGTGTTTATTTTTTCTGAATTATCTTCATCTATATAGTATGATATTTATAATTATTCTGGGAAGTTAATCTCTCAATGATTATATTGACATTGTTATATTTTACCTACATATGATATACTATGTATGTCATGTTTTGCTAATTAAAACATTGAACTTTGGCTTTTATCAAAATGATTAACAAAAAGCATTTAATTTTGATATTGTTGTCCATATTTATTTATTTCATTGGAAATTAGTATTTTTGTGAGATATGGTGGCGACAGCAGACCTTATTGACTGTAGTTAATATTAAAGTATAAAAAGTAAAAAGTGACAAAGTGACTTTTACAAAGCTATTTGGTATTTACAAAGTTTAAATGTTATTTTAAGATCTGGATCGATAGATAGGTAAAGCAGTTATTAAGCGTAATATATTAATTATTACATACACAATAAGGTAAATAAACAATCCTAGGTCAAAATTCCTAGGTCAAAAATAAATTATTTCGACGTTTCAATACAATAAAACATTGAAAACTAACTATACTTTCATTCATCGATTTTAAATTTTATTTGGCTAATTATTAAGAAATAAGTAAGCTGTTTGACGCAAAAAAGTTATGACGTCATAGCTCAGTTTTTCATACAAATTTCATAGAAAAGTATCATTTTTCACGTTTAGATAAAAGTATTGAATTTGACTAGTTGGAAACTACAGTATTCAACGCCACCAGACGCGACAACACGAGTTTTTATTGGTTCAACTTTAGTGTGTGTTTTAAGTGACATTACTAGGTGGACTGCAGTCAGCATGTGTCATTTAAATTCAAAGAATTGTTTTTTTTATCAACAGGTGAGCTTAATACATGTCTGTAGGACTCAGAAAAATGCTTCAGACGATAAACTAAGGCAATGCATGAGGAGGTTTGGTGATCTACACTCTTCACCCGCTGCTATACTATTAATTTCTGGCGATATTGACTTTGCTGCTGATTTAACTGACTTCAGATATAGGTAGGTTTTAAATTTGATGTTATTTTAATTAATACTTAATCTAAAAACGCGCTTGATATATCAGCGTTGTCATAAAATTAAGATGAAGTACATTTTAAGAAAATTCGATTTATCTATGAATTAACTGGCTACTAAGCCAACTCTGAGAATAATACTAAAAGAATTATATAATATTATAGTTGGCTCACACATAATATATTATATAAAATATGTATTATGTAATAATATTTTTATCTATTATTATAAATGTTTGAAAATAAAAACTCCCAAAACCACTGTTGGTCTGACTGTTGGAGGTAAACTTGGAAACTTCTAAACAGGTTTTCATGCAGTTTATATGAGGAAGATGTCTATGTATAACAATACGTGATGTTTTTGTGCACGACTGAAACTTCGCGAAAGCTAGTTGGAATTATATTTTTGTATAATTATATTTATGACACATTTAAATTAAGAATTGTATTCACGTATTATTCATCATCATCAGGAAAAACATGGAAGTGATATTGGTGCACAAACAGAACACTTCGGCGGCTTTAATTGCATGTGCATCGTCTCATTATTGCTTTGACGAGATCGCCTCTACTCTGCCCAGAAAGGTAAAGGCCAGAATATGAGACCAGTTAATACATATTTTATTTATTTATTTATCTTTCATCTACGGGATCCTATAGGGCTGATGTTCAGCCAGGGTTGCGGGGTAAGCGCAATAAGGCACCGCGGCCTTGGCAGAAGAAGGAACGGGGGGTTTTAGCCAGTAAAGAGTCTGACACTCCTTCTCGCCTCACTCTGGGCGAATAAAGAAATTTGATGATTTTCCCCTCATAAAAAAAAAACTATGCCTAGTATGAGGATTTTTTCTTGTTTCGTAGGTGCTAAATGCGCCACGAAGAAGAAAATTTTTATACGCCCACTTGGATCTTTAGGCCTATCATGACGTGTTAAAGCGCCAATATAAAAGAAAGAGGGATGAAGCTATTAAAGGTGTATAGCTCCATCCCTCTTTCTCGCCCGGAAGACTCACGCTTTATCACTACATGTCAGGCCCTCTGATACAAGAAATTTTGCGCGGGAATTGACCCCACCTTGTGATTTTTTCCTATCTTAAATACTTTGTGCTAAGCAAGCATTCTAATCTTTGGAAATCTTTAAATTAACATCGTTTTGTTTACTTTATGATAAGCTATCAAATTACGCGACCCAATAACAATGACTCATATGTTTCTCAATTATTCCTTAAATACCTTTTCACACGCTCTGGTTCCCTGGTACCGGGACCGAGTCCAGGCGGTGAAGTGTTTTTTTTATATCATAGGTCAGCAAACCAGATGGATTACCTGATGGTAAGCAATCCGCCCATGGACACTCGTAGTACCAAAGGAGTTACTACAAGTGCGTTGATGGCATTGAGAGTTATTAGGGATTTAGGCATAGGAAATTTGAGACTTGAGGGTGGGGAAAGTTTTGGGCCTCCGGTAACCTCATTCACACGGCGAAACACAACGTAATTCTTGCTTCACGCTGGTTTTCTGTTAGGCCTTGGTATCACTCCGGTCGTGCCGAAGCATGGCTCTCCCACTCGTAGCTCCTAAATACTTAAGTTCTCACACCTACACTATTCCGCCGAAAAGTCTTCACTAGCATGTTTACTTTATACATCTACAATGTTGTTCTGACTTGTTCTGTAGTGAATTTATGTAAAATTTTCCCTCTTATAGAATGTTATTGTCAATTCAATATCGTTGTTGTTGATAACGAATAAATCCAGTTATTAGCTACGCTGATATAAAAAAGAAATACTCAGGTCACGATGTTTTGTTTGATATGATCTTGAATCAGTTTTTTTATTGACGTCACACTTATCTACTTATTGACGAAATTAAAGTCAAATATATACTTAGTAGCATTTAAAAATGTTGGCAAACTGTAGTTTTTTTAATCTGGCAACATTACGAAACCAATTTATAATGATTAGTATGGTAGATAGTCTGTGTAAACACATCCTTTTCATGACTCTCAAATTCTCAATTGGTGTTAAAAAGTATATCAAATTGAAATAAATTAAGATTGATAGTGTTATGAATGAATGATGAAATTGTAAATAGGTGTTAGTATAACACTTAGGTACATATACATATTAGTATAATACTTATAATAACCTTATACATAGTATTTGGAGTTTGGAGCGCAGAACTACAGTGGTAATTAGCGAGTGAACGCACGTAACTAGTTCGCGTCTCATCTCTGAATCAATCAATTTCAAATACTTCTCTATAGCCGCTAAGGCCTACTAAAAGTAGCCTAATAACGCGATATAATACCATTTCATTAAAAGGTTAATGGAAAGAACTTTATAGACAATCGTTTTTTTTATACCATTGGCATTATAATACTATTTCTGATTGAGGTATGAAAAGAAGTGATACACACAACACGCTCCCTACTTTAATTTCTGACAAATATTTTTAATGATTCAGGTATCGAAAAGTGAGGAAGAAACACCAACTTGTGAAGTGGAAGTTTTGAACTTGCCCATCCACCAGCCAGCTGAGTTGGTGTCCATAAGACTACGTCATCTTGCCAAAAAGTGCGGTGGCAAAGTTGTCTCTGTCACCGCACCTACTGCAGTACTTAAGTTTTCTACGCCGGACCATGCTTCAAGGTAAGATATTTACAATATTGTTTTTAAACTATTTCTGGCTCAAGCGATGGCTATCAAATAATATAGTTTGGTACAACTGCCAGTCGTCAGTCTTGTCTTAGAACTCCAGGATAAAAATAGGATGTTATGTCTAATGTTTAAAATGTACAAATGATAAAAAAAATTGAACATTATAAGTGGATATTTTAACAATTTGGAAGCATTTTCGATATACTCAATTGCTCAATTGCTCATTTACATTCCAAAAAATTGTTTCGTTTCATTACAAATCATCATCATCATCATCATCATCATCATCATCATCAGCCTATAAGTGCCCACTGCTGAGCAAGGCCTCTTCTCACACGGAGAAGGTTAGAGCATTAATCACCATGCTTGCTCAATGCGGGTTGGCGATTTCAAACTTATAATTAGAAATTATAAGTCCAGTTTCCTTACGATGTTTACCTTCACCGTATGTCAGTAGTATCTCAATAATCATAGAAAGTACATATAACTCGGAAAAAGTCACATTGGTACTTGCCAAGTTTTGAACTCACACCCTCATGCATGAGAAGCGGGTTCCTTAACCTCCGGGCCACCACGATGTATTATAATTACAAATAGTTTTACATAATTGCGCCCTGTATAAGGACAGATTTTCTTTACTACAAATTGTTCAGACGCGAACCGCGGGGGTCTTTAACCTGTTAGCGCTCAGATACATCGTGTAGCAAATGTTAAAAAAATGAAATATATTCCTGTGACTTAATTACTGGATATATGTATTCAATGATTCTTTATATTTAGACTGGGAACGTCTTGAGGTCTTAAGTTTAATTTATTGTCTTTTTATCATTAAGACTTTGTGTTGATAAATAGATCTATAAGCCAGTTCGAGTTTTTGCCGACGTTAATATTGTCTATCCATTGCTTCTCGCATGAAGTCCTATAAGATAGCTTTATTAAACTTATTATAATAATTCCGTACTTAATATTCTAATAGTTAGTATTATGTAATTTGACCCAAAAAACTACAAAATATCACTACTCACAATTCCGTAAAACATTTTATAGAAAACTGTCAATTTTGTTAATTCGAAAAAATATTTATTAAATTGTCAAGTAAAAATTCTTTTGATTACGATAGGCCTTTTTAAAAACCATTACTATAGTGTTTTTGAAGATTAGTAATTAATTTTAGACGAGAGTGGTTAAAAACTTTATGACGATTTTTTTTGACTTGCTATGTTCCTACTTGACTACTTTGAGAAGAAATATCGAAACAAACTCATCGTTGCATCGTAAAAAGATAAATGTAAGAAACTACAGAGCTACAATATCTGTTAGCTATTGAACTAATACGCGGGTCATATGAATCGCGTGTCGCTATATTAGTACATTCACCCGAGCCAATGTAGATGTGTTGACATGAATTGCATAGTGCAACTATAAGTACTTAGAACTACTATTTATTAATTGTATTATGTATTAAGTACATTAAATACGATCACATGCTTAGGTAAGTATGCAAATATGGTAGAATGAGATCAAGGTTTCACTTATGGCAGTGCTAAAAATTTTCGCGGCTAAAAGTACATATTTAATCTGTGGAGAGATTATTGCTCAAATTCGTTCATCTGTAAGACATGTTTTATAAAAATAACAAAAAACATTTAAGAAGTTATTGCGTTTTTGGATTTCGATTCTAGATTTAAAAACCAAAGTCAGTAAATTATATTTGGTGTTTTGAAAATACTTTTGGCCCTTATACAGTTGTTTAGATTATTCCAATGGCCAATTCCATTGTAACACGGACCCCATTTAATAACAGAGTCGGCAAGGCGTATTATGACATAACCGGTTATGGTGTACAATAGTGTACATACATTCTGTGAGTTATGAGCGCAATGTTAAGTAAAATACGAACAGAAAATAGCAAACAGAACAAAGGTAATTAAAATTTACATACGTATTTACGTGGTAAACTCATGTCTTCATCCCATACAGAAATTAATAAATCATAAAGCAAAACTAAGTCTATGATCCGTAGGCTTACCTACTTTTTTAGCTCATATAATTATTTTAACATTGGGAGAGGGTCGTCCAAAACCTATTCCCAACCTGGGAGAGGTGAGACTGAATTAAATTCATCCCGTTCCTTATCCTGCTCCGGGTTGGGATGGGACCACGGTACATTGCATATATTCATGGCTGCGATGGCATAAATAAATATAATTAATAAAAGACAGATTATAAAAAAGGCTCGACCTCTAAGCTTTTAAGGATATTTTTTCTATCTCAAGAATGCGTTTATTATAGTAATTAACTACCTACTGTACGTATTTTTGGGAATTATTACCTACTTACATTTCTTAACTTCTAGTTTGCGAAGTATTTTCTGTTTGTATTGTACTCACACCCTTATAGGTAGTCGGAAGTAGGAAGTTGGTATTCAAACACATGCCAGCTGTTAGCAACGACGGCGACGTCACGTTTTGCCTCGATTATTATTTATTTCCGATCATTATTTTCTTTATAATCATCTGTATCTGTTATTTAGAATGTATAGAAATATTGTGATAACTGGTTTGAAATATGATTGTAGTTTACAAGTAAGGTATATAGGTATTTAAGTTACGTTTGGAATTTGTATAAATTAAGATCGATTAGCTTCAAATGCTATATCTTCGTATTATAGAAAAAATCTATAGCTGTTTGTTAGTCTCGCTAACGTTTGTATCGAATTAATTTAAGTCGTCAATATATGTGAAACTTCAAGAAAGGTTTATAAAAATCCCTTTAAAATAATAAATAGACAATTTTGTTTCCATTAAAACTACTCTGTAAGTGACATTAGATATTTAATAAGGCACAAAGATGACACTATAAAATAAATATTTAGGCGGCACGGAGTACGCCTTATTACCTAGTAAGAAATAAAAATATCTGTTGTCTTAGGACGACTACAAAATAAATTTCAAAACAAAATAAAACAAAGTTACAAGAACAAACCAATATAATTTAAATCGCAAATTGCTGCAGAGACCTCTTTGCAAAGTTGTTTAGCAAGTACCTAGGTACCTACACTGGGAACCAATCCTGAGATAGAAAATGTAACATTTATTTTATTTACGTTACTAGCATAGCATAACGGGCCGTCGAAGTTTTAGTAAGGATTTGTAATCTTTTCTAGCAATAAACAAAAACTAAATATATCCTTTTTACTCGAATCTAGATTTCCAATTGATAAAGATTTTTTCAATCGGTGATGCATTTATTCGTTACATACTAGTTTCCGCCCGCGGCATTACCCGCGGGGTACTTACCAAACCAAATGGTCCAGCTGTTTTTGCGTGAAATAATAGCAAACATACATTAACACATTCACATTTATAATAAGTACAATTTTTTTACTTTATAATTTTATTTTAGTGTTGATATCAATATAAGTATGTCACTAGTTTACAATGTTATGAAGACAGTGAGTTCTAGACATGTCATTAACGTCACAACTATCATAAATCAGCTGATGCATCGATACATAGATAATAATAGTTATGAAGCGTATCGATTCCGATTTAATTGTTATTTTATTATTAAAGCAGTTTTCATATATATTTGAATTTAATTCTTAATATAAAAAAGACAATAAGATGAGTTCGATTCATTAATTGAGAATTTACTAAATGGTTATGTTATTTCAGTGTACCCACAAAATTTGAATGGTGGTATTTAATCGTAGTACCTATTCGGGTTTGAACGAGTCATTGCATCGTCAGGCACGAGCCGAAACACAGTGATTATTGAAAACTCAAAAATTTGAAAGTGTAACGTTTTTTTTTTCATAACCGTTTCAAGTTTTGATAAACTTTTTAATTAATGATCGCCTGGCGTGAACACTAGTTACTATGTTATTATCAGGGTAAGACTTTTATATTATTTATATTTTTAGAGTTTTTGACGAAAGTTCCTAGTTTATATAATTTTGTGCTTTTACTTTCGTTGACTAGGAACTTTTTCGTATTGTGTTTATTTGCTATGCATGCAAAAAAACACGAATTTACGTGTATAAATGTTCTGATCAAAAGATGTAATAGTGAGCACATTTTTCTGTAATACGAAGTGTGTCACAGATCTCGAAATTACTGCAACTGTTTGTTTTGCCGCTATCAACTGTTTCTGGCAGTCGTGCAGTATATTTCTATTTTTATGTATCCTTCATTATTAAACGCATTTGGTTGGTTTCAATGGTAGTTTGCAACGTCACACTCGATTGCCATTTCAACCTCAACGTTGCGGAACGTTGGGCAGTGTTTAATCGAGTCTTAACAACACAATAAGTAAATATTTTGTTCTACAACGTACGCAGTATATTTAGCTAATATTTTCACGTATTCTTTGTACTGTGGACGGAAATCGGAATAATTTTAATTTCATATGGGAATTGTGCCTGACATGAGATCATCCTTGAGACATCTAAATTAATATTTAAAATAACCAATGAATAGCCTAATTTACATTGTATGCATCTCTGCTTAACCTTTCAGAGATTAACCCGTTGTATGTCGGTATATAAGACACATTAGAAAATATATGATGTCTCGCGTGGTACACACGGTCTTTGTATTATAGTACATTATGGTAAGAGAATGATTCAAAAGAGAAAACGAGACGACTTGTAAAAAATGTTTCGTAATGGCGGGAAAAATTAATCATTTCCTAGAGTGTGATACGTGACTTCGAAAAGTGTAACACCGAATAACACGTCCCCGTAAGTTTACGCATACGAAACACTTAACAAAGAATGCACGCTACCTCGAAAAACTTAACGCCGTAGCCATGCGATCTCAAATAACTGAATCTCTAATTCACCTATTCGAAACACTTAACAAAGAATGCACGCTACCACTAAAAACTGAACACCGTAGCCATGCGATCTCGAATAACAAAACCTCTAAAAGTCATCGTAAACAGTCTTTATTCATAGAACAATCAACTACATAGAGAAAAAAAGTATC